CTTGTTTAATTAAACTAGAAGCAAGTGAAATGATAAAATATACATTTTTTCAATCCATTAGAAGGATAGCTTGCCACAAAAGAAGTAAAATCTAGTGTTCAAAATCTTACCAAAAAACTCGTGAGAAAAATTTTCTCAGAGAAAACTTGATTTGAAATCTCGCGAGTTTTCAAATCTCGTGAAATTTTTTTCTCACGTCTTAATCTCAATTGAGATTTTTAATCTCAATTTGTGACGTCACAAGGGAAATTTTTCAAAAAATTTGAATGAAATTTTTGAACACAGAGGTTAATGGAAGTTTTTCTGATATTGACTGTGTTCCTGTTTTTGAATGTACATCAGTTTACAGCTTCAATGCCTCTGGATGCTTTTTTGATCTCTTTAAGCATTTCTGAGTGTGAGAACTAGCCGTTGAGAACCTTTTCGTTTAAATTTTAATACAAATGCTATGCCATCGTAAAGGTTGGTTAAAAATGAACTTTATTTATCCAGTCCCCAAAAGTTCGAAAAACTTTATTTTCTAAGATTTCGAACACTAGATTTTACTTCTTTTGTTGCAAGCTATCCTTCTAATGGATTGAAAAAATGTATATTTTATCATTTCACTTGCTTCTAGTTTAATTAAACAAGGTAAAATTAGCTAATTGTGCAACTTTTTGAATTTTAATTTTGTATGGAAGCGCTCTTATGTTACCAATTGACACTGTTGACAAAAGTTTTGTTAATTTTAGCTATTAAATTCTCATCTAAAGCCTGCCTTTTAGATACAAAAACATGTGTTAATATCACAAGATTGATATCTAATAGAGATATTTCAGCTAAAGAGCCTATAACTCCAGAAAAATTAATTAAAGTTTTAATTGATATTCAAAGTAATTACGAATTAGTAGTGAACTTTCTATATATTCCAAATTAATTTCGAAGATATAAGAAACTATCTTGTCTTACATCAAATTAGAATAAAATCCGCAACAAACTTCAAAACATATTACTGAAGAACTTTATTAATTAAATATCATAAAAACCCTTAAAAAATAACATAAAAGTAATTACACAAAACAGGAATAACTTCACATAGAAATTATAAGTGAAGTTATTCCTGCATCATGACGGAATAATGTCGATGAACAAAAATTTGTGAAATTATTACGACGTGGCGCAGGAATAATTTCACTTGGCACATATAAGTGAAGTTATTCCTACAGCGTGCAAGAATAACTTCACCTTCATTTTCTAGGTGAAGTTATTCCTGCGCCACGCCGGAATAAGTTCACTCAGGCTATATAGGTGAAGTTATTACCGCTCTATGCATTTTAAATTTTCGACATTATTCCGGAGCTGCGTTGTGAAGTTATTCCGCGTCGGTGTTATTACCGGGCATCTAAAAACGTGGTTTTTTAAAAAGTTTTTTTTATAAAGTATTTATTTTCTACTTTTTAGTTTTAAAAAATTATTTAAAGTATCCATCGAACAGCATTAGTTTGTAAACTAGAATTTAACCATTGAAAGTCATTTAACGTAGTTTTTGTGATTCAAACTCATAACGGCTTTTTGAAATTTAAAATTATTGAAAGTTGATCATATGTTATGTAAAAATAAGCTAAGCATTAAAGAACAAAAAATTCAATTTAATTGTACTATAATTAAGCAGTTTTAAGTTTCCGAAATGCTTGAATATTGTATTGTCACCGGAAAGATAAGTGCATGCAAAATTTCAGCTCGATTGGAGCAGTAGAAGTGGTCGAAGAATTGATCGCAAGAGTTGAAATTTTTTGCAACCAAACAAACAAACAAGAAAGCAAGTTAAGAAAAACGTGGTAAAATGCGCTAAAAAAGAAAGTAAACCTTAGCATTCAGACCTTAAGATCCATAGCTGCGAGTTATATGCGTTACAAGGCTAATGATAGTTAAACGAGAGAGGGTTCGCCCGCTTAAACCTAGACCTACATTTTATAGTAGGATCCGAAACACTTCTCTGATGACATAGAATATGCCTCCTTTGCTAGGTATACAAGGATATACTAGCATCAGGATGACTTCCTTACGGCATCTTGCGCACGCGAATCGTGACTAGGTACATTGCAGGGTACATCAGGTCTTATGACGTATTTGTGTCTTTGCAATGAGCAGAGCTTGCAAGTGGTTCGGATCCCACTGTAAACTGTATGTCTAAAGGGTATGGTACAATAGATTCTTTACAAACTGAATCGCAGTGCCTGCAGCTTCACACATTATTATTATTTTTAAACTTAGTTAAAGTAAGCTTTTAGACACTTAGAGTTTATTTATTGACTTATTTAAGCTACCTATTTTTGATATTCCATAGTGGTCTTGGAAGTTGTTAATTAACTATAACAACTATTTAACTATACCCTATTTTTACGTTAGAAGCCACTACTCGTTACTAAGCCAGTAGCTTAGTAAAGAAAATTGGCTCTGAAAATTTTTCTTTTCCGTTATTAAGCCACTACCAATTTCCCATTGTTTAAACTGAAATAATTTAAAACTTATTTAAAGGTAGGAATCAATAGCTTGCATGCACTATGGGATAAAATCGAAATTTTTTTCCAAAAATTATTTTATTGGCTTATTTGAAAAGTCTTTATCCAAAAAATCAGAATCTATTTTAATTTTGGCCCAAAAAGCAGCAGTGCTGGAGATATAGCCCGAAATCTTTTTTTATGACCTTCTATAGTTAATATTTTTTTTTCTTCTAATATTTTCAATTTATCAGAACTTTTTTTTGTCTCAACCAATTTTCATGAAATTTTTTTTAAATGACAGATATAAGCTGAAACTTTAATATAAATATCAGTCACATAAGTTTTACTTCATGGAAAGTGCTTAAAAATTGACGAAACTTCAAATGTCAGTAGTACGACACACTTTATTTGAGTATGTGGATTTCTGATGCATTTATATGTTTTTCTTTAGTCATTAAAATATAGCCCTTTACCAGATCTGCAAGAAAAATATTCCTTTCAAGGTTTAAAATTATATTTATGCATCAAAAAATTGAGATTTTTTCAAAAAATATACGGTTTTTTACTATGTTTTGACTTCAATTGACTATAACTGCATATTTCAAGTGAGTGGAGAGACAAATTTTAACTGTTTTATATAGCACTCACTTGTATCTTTCTAAAACGATGAAAACCTGTAAAAAAGTTCTGCCAAATTTTCAACTTTGAACCATTTGAAGCATGTCATCTGCATGCACCTCAAAATTCTTTTTCAACTTTTTTCAACAAAATCATGTCCAAACTTAATAAATCTTTCAGGAATGTTAGAAAATTAAATGTCATCATTTTCCATTTTCAATGAGATGCAAATGACTTTAAATACACTTTATGCTTAACAAAAAGTATTTGTTGAAAAAATCTCAATTTTTTGATGCATAAATATAATTTTAAATCTTGAAAGGGATATTTTTCTTGTAGATCTGGTAAAGGGCTATATTTTAATGACAAAAGATAAACATTTAAATGCATCAGAAATCCACATACTCAAAAAAAGTGTGTCGTACTACTAACATTTGAAGTTTCGTCAATTTTTAAGCACTTTTCATGAAGTAAAACTTATGTGACTGATATTTACATTAAGTTTCAGCTTATATCTGTCATTAAAAAAGTTTCAAGAAAATTGGTTGAGACAAGAAAAAGTTCTGATAAATTGAAAATATTAACTATCGAAGGTCATCAAAATACATTTCGGACTATATCTCCAGCACTGCTGCACTTTGGGCCAACATTAAAATAGATTCTGATTTTTTGGATAAAGACCTTTCAAATAAGCCAATAAAATAATTTTTGGAAAAAAATTTCGATTTTATCCCATATTGGCATGTTTTCAAAATGAAAACTTTTTTCATCCCATTAGCCACTGGCTAATAATAATAATAATGTGTGAAGGGCCCAACCTTTCAGCTGGAGGCACTGCGATTCAAATTAGAACAGAATCTACTGTACCACACCCTTTAGACCAACAGTTTATAGTGGGATCCGAACCACTTGCAAGCTCTGCACATTGCAAAGACACGAGTACGTCATAAGACCTGATGTACCCTGCAATGTACCTAGTCACAATTCGTGTGCGCAAGATGCCGTAAGGAAGTCATCCAGATGCTAGTATATCCTTGTATACCTAGCAAAGGAGGCAGATTCTGTGCCAAAGACATCAATGCTACACCCAACACACGAACCGAGCTTCGTAACTAGAACGGTGAAATGGAAAAAGAGCTTCGAAAATTAGACATGGCCTGGGATTGAACCCAGGACCTTTTGGCACATAAGGCCAACGCTCTACCATTTAGGCCACTGATGCCATTTCACCGCTTATAGCCACTGGCTAGTAACATAAAAATAGGGTAGTTGAAGTCAACAACATACTCATCAAAAATCTTCCTGAAAAAGGTTTCGAATACTTAAAATTCATCATTAATTCGTGTCTCAAACTCGATCACTTCCCCAAAGTTTGGAAACACGCAACATTTATTCCAATACTAAAACCTGGAAGACAAGCAAATGGCCCTCGATTTGAGTAAATTCGATTTGAGTTACGAAAACTAATAAATAGAAAATTTAAATTTATTTTTGTAACGGAGAGACAACCAACAATATCAGGCTTTTCGCAGATTATACAGCACAAAACACCTACTGAAATCGAGGACCCCCAATAATTTTTTAAATACAAAATATAATTGGACGAACTATTTTTCATTTTCACAAAGTGCTTAAAAAGTAAAAGTGCAAATTTTCATTAGTTCAGACTAATCTTTGTATTATTGTCTTGTACCAGAATTTCGATTCTTACTAAATGTGCATTTGCATGATTTTGTGTTGTAGAAATCATCAACTGAAAATGAAATTTTTATTCTTTTTTTGTAAAATATTTTCATTGGTTTTGATATTTAATTTTTTTCTATGTTGCTTTATAGTAAAAAGGTTTTGTAGGTGTAAAAAAATATCCTAATTTAATATTAATTTTATTTGATCTTACAGAGTGTTACCCAGCGACTGGATTTAAAGCTTGAAGAAGATAGCATTTTTTACAAACTTGGAAGCTATGGGCTAATATCTTTTTCGGATTACATATTTTTACTAACAGTTTTATCGAGTAAGTACCATTTTCTAATTTTTGAAACAGTATACAAAATCATCTTGATTTAAAATTTTTTCCACAAAACATAATTGGTTATAAATATCCATAATATCCCTCAAAACGAATTTTTTTTTTGGTTAGCTCTCTTTTTCAAATTTTTATTTTTAAAAAAACAAAAGCCCTCTTCTTATTGATCGAGGGATCAATCTTCATTTCTATGCATGGCTTCAGAATCTTGCGGATTTTAAAATACCAGTCAGTGCTGATAGTTAATTTTTTGTGATGCAATTAATTACTTCGAGAAGCGACTTATTATTTTTGGAATAAGAATGTTTCATGAGGATGTTAAGCCGTATCCAGCTTTACATTTTTTGATTGAATATTCCCTGTATCGTATGTTCTAATTATAGAGGTCGTGTGTCTTTATATATAGAGGTTGTTGGTTCGACAGTTTTTCTACTGTACTTTTTAACCGTCAACTATTAAATATATCCGAATAAAGTTTTAGTAGTTTTCTTACTTTAACTCTAATTTAACATTGCGTATTTATTTCTGTACCAATATTGCAGCATTATCTTTATATCAATTTCGTTCTTTTGTAGTAGTGTACTGTATTCAGCTGCGATAATTTTTGCTTCGGTTATGATTGAATTAAGCTCATCCAGTGATCTTTATTCGATATTTATGCACTTTGAAGTGCTTGATATGCCTTTTGTGTCAAATTTATTATGGTTGCTGCATTCGGGACATCTCGATTTCTGATATGGCATATTTGACTGCTTTCCCTAACACACAAAGAGCATGCTCTTGTTTAAGAGGACGGTTGAGAAGACGCTTTTTTAACATCCTCTCAAGATCGCAGTAAAGAGCATGTTCAATAGCGGAATCAATCGTACTCTAATTATAAATAACTTGCATGCAAGTTTTTATTTCATAATCTTTTATATACTCTCAAGAGCATGATCAGAAGAGTATATTAAAAGCACGATCATTGACATCCTCATGAGAGTATGCTAAAATTTTTCTTGCTTTATACTTCACAAGCGCTAGCAGAAATCACTAGTATAGGTCCTATATACTTCACAAGAGAAAGCAGAAATCACTTTTATAAGTAATTATTTTGGACTTTATATAGTTTAAATATGTCTTCGCCTTTTGAAAGTTATTCAATTTCAGAAGGCATTAGACAAGATGAACAGTTATCAGGACAAACTACAACACAGCGTACTCGGGTTTGAATCACGGCAATCACCATAAAAAGAAGAAAAAAAAAATATCAATTTCCCAAAAACATGATCAAGAGCATAATCACAAGCTCATAAAATTTTTTAAATAGTAAAATTAAAGCATGGTCAGGAGAACATGTTTTTGATCATGATTTCAAGTTTAACTTGCATTTGAAATTTGCAAGTAAAAAAGCGTACTCTTGAGAGCGTGATTTCTGTGGTACCCTGCTGCGATCTCCAGTTGTATGGGAGAGTACGCTAATTCAGCGTCATCAATTGACAAAATTAATATTTAAAAATCATGCTCAGATCGTGCTCTTTGTCTGTTAGGATTTGATGAATTTTTTGGTGACAATTTCTTTGACATTTCAATATTTTGGATGTTCTGACCCTTATGTGATTAGTTTCTTAATAAGACGTTAATATGTCTGTACAGCTATCTCCTCTTCCAGTTTAAGCTTTTTTGATGCGTTTTTTGGCTTATAATATGTGTATTACGTATTTTTTGCGAGGCCCTATTATATGAAATTTAAGCTCTATTATACAATATTAATGAATGCGCCCACGTTTTAAGATGTAGAACTATACGATATGGTCAAAGTGAACAAATTTGCAATTCATGTATGGTTATGACTTTAGTGTGAAACTTTCAAATCAATCTCAAATTTTCAAACCAATATTCTTTGAACCCAATAAAACAGTTGTTTTCTACTTTTTAGTCCACGGGTAAAAACGTGGTTTTTTAAAAAGTTTTTTTAAAAAAGTATTTTTTGATAGATATTGATGTTTTATGGTGAAATTCTCCATTTTCAAATTTTTCCATTTATTTCCCGAGTTTTTCACGGAGTTTTATTATTTTTCTATACAAATTTAAAACTTGGCATGTAGGATCAATAGCTGTTCCTGATAATGGGCTTCGAAACAAGTTTCAAAAATGCGGGTTAAAAAGTTTCTAACTTCCTAGGAATTCCGTCTGCCAGATAATCTTCATCCAGAAATTAAATTTTCTTTAATTTTTGAAAAATTCAAAATATAAACCGTTATTTTTACTCGAGTTTTACTTTACTTGATTATTAAGTAAATGTAATCCCATTACTTGTTACTCGATACTTAATTCCTGCCTTACTCGTTCACTTGTGACGTTCGAAATAAACAGCTTTTTTTTTTCAAAAAAGAACAATGGATTTCCTGGAATTTCTATAGTTCTTTTGTTGCTCGGACTTTTTAAAAGTTTTTAAAATCCTACAGCGTTGTAAAACTGTTGTAGGTTTCCATAAAAATTACAAAATTGTAGGGTTTTCATATATTTTATATACTTCACAAGCGTTCCCAGAAATGACTTATAAAAAGAATGTCTTAGTTCTCATACAAAGTCATATAAAATTATTAATCACTTATGAGGCACATTAAGTGCCACAAATTATACAAGAAAACTTTTTAGTTAAGACTTGAGAAAGCTTCATACTTTAAATTAATTATAGTATAAAGCTGCTTTTGTAAAAAAATAATCCAATAAATTTTAAGAACTTTTTACTAAAATCCATGAACAAATTTAATAAAAGTTATTGAAAATACATCTTAATAACTTTTTTTTTATCCGTATACGGATTTATTAACTTTTTGTGAAGACAAAAATCGCACATACAAATGTAGGTGAATATTTTGTTCCCATTACTAGCTTAGTAAATATATTTTGAACTTCAAATTTTTTAAATTCTTCACTAAGCTACTACCAAAAATAAAGTTTTAATAATCTATTTCTGAACTGCAAGAATCAATTAAAATGTAACATGACATTTTAAGTGGTAAAGGAAATCAAAAACAAAGCACAACTTCTTCAATTAAGTTAAAAATTGAAAAAAATCATTGAAGTTCAATTTTTATATTCACACCGTTTTCACGTGTGAATCTATTGGTTTTGTTCAGATTGAAAAATCAGTTTTTCGCATTTTGTGAGAAAACAAAGCAAAATTGGTTATAAAAAGGCAAGAAGAAAAGTTTGTGCCTAAAATTTTACATCATTTTCAAAAAACAGATTTCAAATTGGTTGTGGCATTGCTGAGAAAATCGCAAAATACGCTTTCTGTAAGCAAACAAGCAAGCAAGCAAGCAAGTTAATCAGCAAGAAATCTCAATAACGAGACATCGTAGAGACTTCTAGTTTTTTACATTTGATCCGTGCTGCTCTATAGAAGAGCTGTATTGTTTTTGGGCAAGGTAGGAACAGCCGTTGCTTCAGAAATGGCAAAAAACTTTCCTTTCTTACGAATTTTTTAAAACAAAAGTTGACTGTGATTTTTATAAAATTCAACCTTGGATGAAAATTTTTTTTAAAAAACTTTTAAAGAATATTTGGCATATTCGTCAAGCTTTATACCTTCAAACTTATGCTGAGTGTAGCTCAGCTGACTCGATAGCTTTATATCTTCAAACTTATGCTGAGCGTAGCTCAGCTTACGCGATAGCTTTATAACTTCAAACTTATGCTGAGCGTAGCTCAGCTGACACTCTAGCTTTATATCTTCAAACTTATGCTGAGCGTAGCTCAGCTTACGCGATAGCTTTATAACTTCAAACTTATGCTGAGCGAAGCTCAGCTGCCTCTCTAGCTTCATATCTTCAAACTTATGCTGAGCGTAGCTCAGCTTACGCGATAGCTTTATAACTTCAAACTTATGCTGAGCGAAGCTCAGCTGCCTTTCTAGCTTCATATCTTCAAACTTATGCTGAGCGTAGCTCAGCTTACGCGATAGCTTTATAACTTCAAACTTATGCTGAGCATAGCTCAGCTGACACTCTAGCTTTATATCTTCAAACTTATGCTGAGCGTAGCTCAGCTTACGCGATAGCTTTATAACTTCAAACTTATGCTGAGCGAAGCTCAGCTGCCTCTCTAGCTTCATATCTTCGAACTTATGCTGAGCGTAGCTCAGCTTACGCGATAGCTTTATAACTTCAAACTTATGCTGAGCGAAGCTTAGTTGACTTATCAAGCTTCATACCTCCATACTACTGATGGGCAAATCTTGGTCTATCCATAAGACTTATGATAGTACGGTGTGAATATAATCCGCATTGGGTTTCTACCCGATACACTAGTTTACTAAGCTCTTGCTCGTTACCAAAAAATTCAATTTTTTATTCACCTAAGCTACCAGCTTATAACGAAAAACGGGGTAGGCAAATTCTTTGAATAAATAGAATTTTTGAAAATTGAGCTTTTACAATCCACTTAAGGTGCAAAAATGGGTTCTCAAATATCTCTTTAGTATTTACATTTTGAATGCTTAGTTCAATTTTTATGGAGCTTCTATAATTAATTGCTCTTTAATCAATAATAGTTTAATACTAATTTTTTCTCATGAATTAGGAAAATAAAAGCATATTTATAACTTGTTGACATGAAAAAAATGTCAAAGAATCGAAAAATCTCCTTACTTAATGCATAACGGCAAGAATAATTGCAGTATGTTGATAGATATGTAAGGTTCACTATTATTATCTAGTTCCTGTTATTTAGGCACAGACACAATAGTTTATTTTATTTAATTTTTGATTCTTTGGATGGAGGTTTCATTTTTTTACGAAAATTTTATTAAAAAATCGATTATTTGATGAAAAGTTTCAAAAATCCATTCAAAAAAATTCCTATAATTACACATTAAAAAGTGGCTTATTACGTTCTTTTATTAAAAGTTTGTAGCAAGGGATGTGGGGTTGAAAGTCATTTTTCCCCTTAGAGGTAAGCCATGACCAAAGTCGCACATAGAATGTGGTTCGTGTTATTTTCAAACAAAATCTTGTGTCGTTTGGTCTTTAATTGTCAGAAATCAGATGTTTGGTGTCGTTTTCTCATTTTCTAGGCGTTTTTCATGATATTTCAATATTTTACCTTGTAAGACTTCCAAAAATGAATAGTTTGAACTACAGATAAAAATTTGAAAAAACGTTAGAATTTTAGAGGAACTTATTTTTTGACCGAGCCCATTAATTAAAAAAATCCTTTTTCCTTTTAAAAATATTTTATTGAAATTCAGTGCTTTTTTTGTAAAATATGCAATTTACATCATTTTATGAAATAAAGTTTTAAAGTTTTTATATTTTTATTAATAATTCGAAGAATGAACATTGCATTTTTAACTCAAATTTACCTCTATTACTAGTGGTTTTTGATCATAAAAAAATGTAAATATATAAATTTTCTGAATGCACAAAAAATAAATTAACGGAAAATAAACTAATTTATATTTTAAGTTTGTTTTGTGAACTTAAAAGTCTTAACCTAGGTGCAAAAGTAAAAAATCTATTTTATTAATGATTGCTTTGGAAAAAAAAATAAATGGGCTTTTTCAAATTAAACAAACGATACTTTGATTCAATGTGTGGTGTTACCAATTAATTATTTCTATATTATTATTTTAACCAACATTAAATTGATTACCTTTTACAAATATTAGATTCCGGATTCAAAATCTAAACGATTATTAATATCTTTATCACTTTTTTGTTGTACAATTTTCCAATACTTTGAACTATTGTAATTAAATAAATCAAAATCTAACTGATATATTTCAAGAATGTCCTCAAGCAGATGCCTATCGATTTGTGAAAAATATCTATAATGAAAAAAAGTTTAAAAAATAACCAATTCTATTTTTTATTTGAACTAACCTGGAAATTAATGATGCTGTGTTATTTTTTGAGCGGTTTGAAATTTTCGAAACTTTAGTGTTGGGTACTTTATTTAAGAGTAATGTTTCTAGTCCTGCTTGACGGATTATATATTCGCTATCACGATCAAAAGTTTCCATTTTTGCAATTAAAGTAAAATTGATACTACAAGGAGTACAGAATTGATATATAGGACTCCAATGTTCATCAAATCTTCCACCAGATTTGTAATGCTGAACTACAAATTGAAGGAATTCTTTAAAAGTGGGTCCTGATGGATCCTAATATGGATAAAATGAGAAATATTGTTTTAATGACTATTTTAAATTTTGGAATTTGCTCACATTTTTTAACGGTTGTTGACCTCTAAATCTCTTCACTATTTGATCGCCAAGTAATTTGTAATAGTTGTTTCTGCCTTCTTCCATTTTATTACGATATGCAGAAAGTAATCTTTCAAATGGCTCTCTTACTATAAGAAATGATATTGAATTTTCCAAAGATTCATATAAATCCTCTAAACTTGGACGTGGAAAACGCTTTCGTGCAAGTTCCAATGGGGTCGCAACTGTTCTTTGTAGATATTTTAAATCATATCCAGCGAGAATATTCAAATAATACATCCACGTTGTACTTGCCGCTTTAAATACGTTACACCAAGCTATTCCATGCCCTGCTGAAATAAAAAATTCCCAAGCATTTGGTGTCAATTTCCCAATAATATTATTTTTTGCACACACTTTCCACAAATGCTCTTTTCGTCCATTAAAATCATTTTCGGCTTTTGCGTTAATTTCTTCAGAGTACTCGTAAATAGAATTAGTTATCGAAGAGTTATCTAATTCAGTTTTTGAGTTTTCCAGGGAAGACTTGAATTCTGCAACATTATGAAATTTTTGATTTGGTTTTAAATATGATGAAGGTGGTTTAAATTTTCTTTTGGTATCAGAGTTTTGCTTGTGATCATAGCGTGGGTGATTAGAATTTTCTTTAAACTAAAATTATAATGTTAACTATACATCATCATTTTGTCAAATAAATCACAATTTACTTACTTTATCTACTTTCAATACAGTCTTGTATTTTGCATTATTGTTCATTGCATTCATTGATTCTCTTACAAGTACAATGAGATATATACTTATCACGAATATTAATACTGCCGCTTTTACAAGTGTAAGACCTTTTTTGTTTAGTAACATTTTTATTTTTCTTGGAAACATTAACATTTCTATAAATATTTATCATTTTTTTTCTGGTTTTATACAAATTAGTGATTGTTGTTAAACTGTACGGTACATGTTTACTCTTTTTAATAGAATATATTAATAAATATATTAATATTATCTTTATGCACTTCTTATTTTTATACAATGATGATAAATATGCCTAATTCTTAATACGAATAAGTATGAAAAAAGATTTTGTTTTAATATTGAAAAAAATATCCTTTTCTAAGTAATTTATTTTTATTTTAAAACATTACTTTTCGTCTTGTTGTATGCACAGTTTAGCTCTTAATGAAATCAAAACCTATGGTTTGATTCATTTATCTAAATAAACTCAAAATATTGCAGTTTATTTTAAACTAAAGAAAAAAGATTTTTTAACTCATCAATTTCACATTTATTACATATAATTTTCATCCACACCTCCAAAATCAGTCATAATGGTTTTCGGGACTGAATGTTAATAAAATTTTATTGTGTTTTTTTTTTTTTATATTTCCGTTTGATTGTAAATTAATACTTTAAAGATATAATTGAAAATGATGATGATAGTAATAATAATGTAATATGTGAAAATTTTCTATCATGAATGAAATTTTTTTTGTGTAAAGTGCAAATGTTGGCGCGATGAAATGTGAAGTAAAACTGTTAATTTTTTTACTAGAACATACAACTGAAACGTTATCGATTGTTCATGCGCAGTAACTAATTACGAAAAAAGAGAAGCTAACTTAGAAAAATTGAGAAAGGACAAGCTGATAATTTCTCGAGCTATATTTCTGACATAAAACAAATATTTTTTTTGTTTTCTGGAATGCTTTTGCTTAAATTGTTGTGGTTGCAATTAATCCCCATTATAAATTAAACATAGGGATTTCAATCTCGGGATTACGGGATTGAAAACTTTCGAATATTTGCATAAAATTTCTTAGCAAAATGCAATGTATAGAAAAATCAAGATGCGTCAACTAATTTCTGGTCATTTCTTGTAAACAATAACAATTTAAATTTTAACGAACAATTTCTACTTTTTTTTGACATTTTTAGCTTCTCGACGACATTTTGAAATTGCATTTAAAATGTTTGATTTAAATGGAGACGGCGATGTTGACAGTAGTGAATTTGAAGAAGTGGCCAACTTAATCCGTCAACAAACTTCTATAGGCTCAAGACATCGAGATCATGCAAATACTGGAAACACTTTTAAAGTAATGAAACTGAGAAGTATTAATTTTTAAATTTTAAATATAAAATTATAATTTTTGTACCTAATAATTGCTACATTCTGCATTGTTTTGTATTTTTATTTAAACGACGGTGTGTAATCTTGTAATTTCAAGTCAGGAAATGTAATGTAAAATTTTTCAATCCTATTTTTAAAGCTATAGATTAAAATTTATATTTACTGTTGCACTATAAATCTGCTTGAAAAATTTAAATAGTATAGAATTCTAGCTAGAATTTTTCATTAATTTTTTACTTAAAAAATCTGCTTTTGTTAGAATGTATATCAGTGCTCTTCAAATTATGCTCTGAAATAATTTGAGAACCACAGATTTTTAAATGAAATTTTTTTATAATTATTTTAAAAGTAATCCTAGCTCATTATTTTCCTTTTTTGTCTTTAACAGAAATTCAAAATTGCTTCTTTTTATTTCGCTTTTGAAAAATGTATGATTCGAAAGCATATTCTTAAATTGCAATGCAGAAATCAATTGAATATTTTTTAAATACCTACCTATATAATTTTTGCATGAAAAATCTTATTTTCGCTCTTATCATGAACTTAAATATTGTTATTTTATTCATAAAAACTTATTTTTAATTAAAAATATTTAAAATACTTAATGTTTTATTCTTTATTTAGGGAGTCAACTCTGCTCTTAGCTGTTACTTTTTCGGACAAAAGTTAGACCAAAAGTTGACAATTGAAAAATTTCTTGAGTTTCAACAACAACTACAAAGAGAAATTTTGACTCTTGAATTTTTAAGAAAAAATCCGGAAAATGGACACATTTCAGAAGCAGAGTAAGTTTAATTTTTAAAATGATTGAAACTTTCTTATTTATAAGCTGTAAGAATTAAAAAACCAGATCCATTATTCAATATGTTTCATATTTTTCAAATTATGAAGTTTGCTGCATTTTTATATGAATTCATTATAATTAATCAAATTATTTTTGTTGTTTATTGTTTTTAAATAGCTTCACCGAATTGCTACTTGCTTATGCTGGCTATCCTCAAAAAAAGAAGATAAAAAAAATTAAACGAGTCAAAAAAAGGTAAATCTGAAAATTAGAATGCTTTTCATTTTAAAACATGCAACATAAAAATTTTTCTTTTTACCAGAGATCGAAGCCGATTTTTTCGAAGAAAAAAGCCATTTAACACCCATTTTAAGTATTTAAATTGAACTTTACATGCTTTACTATGATTCTGTGAAATATTTTTTGAGCATGTAGCTATAGTGAGCTCAGAATTTCAAGTTAAAGAATGTTAAGCCGAAATTTAAGCCGATCGGCTTAAAATCGGCTAAATTGAAATTCAGAGCTTACTATAGCTACATGCTGAAAAAATATTTCACAGAATCATAGTAAAGCATGTAAAGTTAAATTTAAATACTTAAAATGGGTGTTAAATGGCTTTTTTCTATCAAAAAAATCAAAAATTGAGTTAAGCCGAAAAAATCGGCTTCGATCTCTGCTTTTTACTTTTACTTAAAATTCGAATTGTAAAATTTGATATTATATTATATTCTGCTGTAACTGGGAGCTAATTGTATATTTTCAAAATAGATTTAGAGATCATGGTAAAGGTGTTTCCAAAGAGGATTATCTAAGCTTTTTTCACTTTTTGAATAACATAAATGATGTTGACACCGCACTTACTTTCTATCACATTGCAGGTATGAATTTAAATATTTAATTTTATATTATTTTTTTAAACTGAAAAAAACTCCTAATCATTCCAAAATAATTTCATTAATAGGTGCTAGCATTGATCAATTAACGCTTAAACACGTAGCCAAAACTGTTGCATTTGTTGATTTATCCGATCATATTATAGACGTTGTATTCACAATATTCGACGAAAACATGGATGGACAACTGAGTAATAGAGAGTTTGTTGCTGTAATGAAGAATCGATTAATGAGAGGCTTAGAACGTCCGAAAGACACTGGCTTTGTTAAATTTATGCATTCTATCTTAAAATGCGCGAAGGAAACAAAACCAGTTTTACTTGACGTTCTTTAATTTTTATGCGTTAAAAGTGCTTAAAGCTTAAAAGCAAAAAAAATTATTTTAAAAAAATAGTTATCATTCATAAATTTTTATCAAGTAAATATGCATTTTGAAACATTTATTTATTAAAGTTAAACTTTTTGTTAAAAATGTATTGAAAATTCCTTAAATAAAAATTTTAATCAAAAACTTGTATACTATTAAAAAAACCTTTACCTATTCAGATCAATTGTTATCCAGAGGTGTGCTAGGGCGTTTTGTTTGTTTACTTTTTAAAGCAAAAAGCTAATTAAATCTTGGGATATAAGAGTGCTAAGCAAATAGAAAACATCAAGTTTATTATCTTCAGTATTGTGATAGAGTTTTTGCAGTGCTTTAGTGTATAATAAAAAATGGTTAAAAAATTAGCTGATAAAATTAGTAATTTAGTGATCTGGAAGTTTTGATAAGTACATGAAGTCCATTAATTGCGCAGGGATTATTGTTCAGTGATCAATTTGTATGCGAATCAGTTAAAAGCTAGTAAAAATCAGGAAAAAAAATGCGATTTATGTATCTTTTTTGCGATTAGTGAAACTTTCCATTGTAGGCTCAATTTTTAAGAGAAATTAAGGGAATTTGAAGATCTAGTGCTAGATGGTTTCTAAAATTTAATTGGAAAGCCAAATTGATTAGTTTAAATAGTGTTTGAAGTGTTAATTGCATTTACTTCAGTGTTATGTGTTTTATAAAAATTTCTGCATTATTGTGGTAAATACATCACAATATTGTTTTTCGTTGGCTTTCAAGCTAACTTTATATAATACTTTGTAACGTTCAGTTCAAATTTTAGGATGTGTATCGGGCGGCAAATATGCCAAAACCGATTATGTTAGAATCAAGAACGATTGCAGTTTATCATATGAATGCAATTTTGGAATTGATTCAGTTTTCTAAGGCGGCTCAGCCAATACCTAGTTTAACTGTAATTAGCAAGGAACTTTTTGTGTATTCTAGGGGTTTTATTGAGCTAGCATGAAAGTCTGTCAGGCTAATTTGCAGCACTCAAAAGCTGCAGCCTTAGAAATTGCTAAAAACTTTGATAAGGGTTTATTTGATATAGTTCTTATTCAAGAACCTTATATGAAGAATAATATAGTGTACATCAACACTCAAAATAGAATTATTTTGAATCAACAAAACAATGGTAAGGTAAGATCTTGTATTTTAGTAAATCAGAGTTTAGAGTATTTTGTACAGCCTCAATTCACCGACACCGATGAAGTCACGGTTAAGGTTTCATTAAAAGATGAGAACGGCAATTTTGTTGACATTATTTTCTGTAGTGGGTATTTTCCTTATGATGCGGTATATGACCCACCAAGTCATAACATCATAAATTTGGTTGATTATTGTAACAAAAGTGGCTTGAATCTAATTGTTGGTTGCGATGCTAATGCACACAATGTGGTGTGGGGTAGCAGCGATACCAACAAAAGAGGTGAAAGCCTATGGAATTTCTGCTTATTAAGGAATTGATTGTTTTGAATGAAGGTAATGAACCTACTTTCAGCAACAGCATTAGACAGGATGTGATTGACCTTGTGTCCTTTGTCTAAGTACCAGTTTGCTTATCAATCTAGTAAATCGACAGATGCTGCCTTATATAGTATTGTTTCTAGAATTGAAAAGGGTTTCTTCGACAAGAAATTTATGGTGGGAGGCCTCATTGATATTGAAGGTGCTTTCGACAACACTGGTTTCGATGTTATCACAAATGCCTTATATCGTAGAGGAGTTCCACAAAGAATGATACAGTGGATCAGCAACATGCTTAGATCGAGAATCGTTCACGCATCATTAAACGGTGAAGTTGTGTTCATCATAGTGAAACGTGGTACAACACAAGGCGGCAACTTGTCTTGCCTGTTGTGGTCATTGGTTATTGATGATTTATTAGTAGATCTAAATGGTTCAGGGGGCATCTTTGCTCAAGGTTATGCTGATGATATTTTTATTTTAGTAAAAGGTAAATTTACTAACACAGTGTTAGATGTTTTTCAGAGGTCTTTAAACATTGTGGAAGGTTTTTGTGATAAAGTTGGTTTATCAGTAAATCCAGCCAAAACAATTGTAATTCCTTTCACTACGAAGTATAAATTAGGTGAGCTACGTCCTCCAGTTATGTATCGTCAAAGAAAAGAATTCAGTTATGAAGCAAAGTATCTTGTCTACTTAGACAGGAAATTGAACTGGAATTTGCATGTAGATTTCGTTGTAAGTAAGATGATTAAGTCATTTTGGACTTGTAGATCTATTGTTTGTAAAAACTGGGGATTAAAACCCAATATGATGTATTGGTTGTATGAGCAAGTCATTCTACCAAGAAATATGTATGGATGTGTTGTTTGGTGGAATAAAATGAAACAAGTTTTTGCCTCTCAGAAAATTGAGAAACTGCAAAGAATAGCAGAATTGTCAATTTGCTGTGCTTGGAAAACTACTCCAAAACTGGCTTTGGATAGATTTCTTGAGCTTCCTCCACTTCGAGTGAGAATCAAAGCTGCAGCTCAAACAAGTGTATCCAAGTTGAAGGTAAATAAATTATGGGTTGATGACTGGATTTCTACAGGTCATATGGAATTAAATCGATTTCTAAGGAGTGTAAGTTTATTTACCTTCGAATCGGATCATATAGTGTCAATGTAAGTTTTGAGTAACAAATTTTAAAGACGTGTGAAAAATCTGCATTAAGAAGGTTGATTTTTGCACTAAGCTCACACGGCTTGAGAGTAATATAAATTAAGATTCAAAAATTCAAAATTATCATATTAATTAAACTTCATCTTTTGAATGCCAAATTAAAGATCTTAACTTATCCGACGAATATCCTGAATATGCCCTGATTTTACTGTTTTTGAATCCACGCACCACTCATTTGGATGGTAGTCAATTGCACCGAAAAATAATAAGTCCACAACACTAGAAGATAGAAAACCCGAAAAATGAAAAATCAAGGAGGGACAATAACGCCACTTAAAAATTTTTAATTTAAAGATCACTTGAAATCACATTTTTTTTTGTCAAGTATCATAAAAATAACGTTTGATTTTTTCAAATAAGCATTTATGTATCTTTCTTTAATTTAAGTTTTATCTGCCCGATAGTGCCAATAAATAAATTCAATTCAATTCAATTGCTTTTAAAATCTTAAATGTGTTTTATTACAGTACCAAAGTAATCTACGTATGTTAAATGAGTCATAAGCAAGAAAAGGCACTTGAACTGCCTAGTTCCTTTACATCCACAAAAATTTGTTTTGTTGCTTTTTCATCAAGAAATCAGTTCCGGTCAGTTCCGCAAAAATTTTTTTGACTTCAAAAATAAACTCTGAGATTTAGATTTAAATCGCAAAAAATCTCCCCACCCTGTTTATAATACCTAGATGTGTTTAAAAATGCAATTTAAAGCATTTTTGGTTTCGATCATAGTAGTCTATTTTCAAATTTATGTCAATATTAGCATTTATTATCATTTAAATTGCCTAGATGAGATTTAAAATGCAATTTAAAGCATTTTTGGTTTCGATCATAGTAGGCTATTTTCAAAAATTATCGATTTGATGTCAATATTAGCATTCTTTATCATTTATAATACCTAGATATGTTTTAAAATGCAATTTTAAGCATTTTTGGTTTTAATCATAGTAGGCTTTTTTCAAAAATTATCGATTTTATGTCAATATTAGCATTCTTTATCATTTATAATACCTAGATGTGTTTAAAAATGCAATTTTAAGCATTTTTGGTTTTGATCATAGTAGGCTTTTTTCAAAAATTATCGGTTTTATATCTATATTAGCATTCTTTATCATTTATAATACCTATTTATGTTTTAAAATGCAATTTTAAGCATTTTTGGTTTCGATCATAGCAGGCTATTTTCAAAAAAATATTGATTTTTTATCAATATTAGCATTCTTTATCATTTATAATACCTAGATGTGTTTAAAAATGCAATTGAAAGCATTTTTAGTTTCAATCATAGTAGGCTATTTTTGAAAAAATTATATCGATTTTATATCTATATTAGCATTCTTTATCATTTATAATACCTAGATGTGTTTGAAAATGCAATAGAAAGCATTTTTGGTTTCAATCATAGTAGGCTATTTTTAAAAAAATTATATCGATTTTATATCTATATTAGCATTCTATATCATTTATAATACCTAGATGTGTTTAAAAATGCAATTGAAAGCATTTTTGGTTTCAATCATAGTAGGCTTTTTTTAAAAAAATTATATCGATTTTATGTCTATATTAGCATTCTTTATCATTTATAATACCTAGATGTGTTTAAAAATGCAATTCAAAGCATTTTTGGTTTCAATCATAGTAGGCTATTTTTAAAAAAATTATATCGATTTTATATCTATATTAGCATTCTTTATCATTTATAATACCTAGATGTGTTTAAAAATGCAATTGAAAGCATTTTTGGTTTCAATCATAGTAGGCTATTTTTAAAAAAATTATATCGATTTTATATCTATATTAGCATTCTTTATCATTTATAATACCTAGATGTGTTTGAAAATGCAATAGAAAGCATTTTTGGTTTCAATCATAGTAGGCTATTTTTAAAAAAATTATATCGATTTTATATCTATATTAGCATTCCTTATCATTTATAATACCTAGATGTGTTTAAAAATGCAATTGAAAGCATTTTTGGTTTCAATCATAGTAGGCTATTTTTAAAAAAATTATATCGATTTTATATCTATATTAGCATTCTTTATCATTTATAATACCTAGATGTATTTGAAAATGCAATAGAAAGCATTTTTGGTTTCAATCATAGTAGGCTATTTTTAAAAAAATTATATCGATTTTATATCTATATTAGCATTCTATATCATTTATAATACCTAGATGTGTTTAAAAATGCAATTGAAAGCATTTTTGGTTTCAATCATAGTAGGCTTTTTTAATTTAATTATATCGATTTTATGTCTATATTAGCATTCTTTATCATTTATAATACCTAGATGTGTTTAAAAATGCAATTGAAAGCATTTTTGGTTTCAATCATAGTAGGCTATTTTTAAAAAAATTATATCGATTTTATATCTATATTAGCATTCTATATCATTTATAATACCTAGATGTGTTTAAAAATGCAATTGAAAGCATTTTTGGTTTCAATCAT